CAGAACCAAGTGAGGGGGGCCCTAGACTAAGGTGTAGTGCGATCCGTGCCAAGAGTCTTGTGGCACTGGGGGCCTAATATTCAGTGTCTTAACGGAGCCTTCTGGGAACCAGGGGTAACCCAGTCGTACACACCCCTTACCTCTCTAATCGGGTCACTGGGGAGGTGGACTTACCCGGTATTCGTGAGAACAATGTAGACAGTCTGACCCAAATGGAGGAGGAAGGCCTACTGAAATCTGACGATGACGACAAGCTCGCAGAATCCGGAAAGGAACGAAAAACGACTTTCCAGGGGCGAGTTGCAAAGATGGAGGATAGCGGATGCTTTAGCCAAAGGCGAAAAGGTGCTATCCAGAAGTGAGAGGAGGCTGGTGTGGGCTGCCAAGCACCCTAACTCTGCTGCCTGCAAAGCCAGTTCCTCCGGGAACTAGGATGCTGGGAAAAAGCAGAGCAAGGGTGGTACCCCCAAAGCTGACTCTAATGAAGCCTCCAGGAAGAAAGGTGGAGGCTGTGCTGACGCAGCCACAAAGGATTGGCTGGTCAAGCAAGTTCAGGAGCTGAGACCTTTCAGGGAAATCTCGCTACGGCTTGCCCCAGCCAGGGACCTTGTGAAAGCTGTGAAGGTATATTTAGGTGCCCAGCCCTACAAGGTCTGCGTATGAGATCCCTTGGCCTATTGATGGGAGATCAAAGGGAAGAACAGGTCACCATAGTCAAGAGGCTCTCACGGTTCACCAAGGACCTGGGATTTGACGGAGAATGAGGACCTGTAAACGAGGGTGCACAATAAGCTGTTCTAGCTGCGATGCAATCCCATAGTAACTTGTAAGCCTGGCCCTCAGTTAAAAAAAAAAAAATATGTTGCATACGTTGGTACTGTACAAGTTAGTAACGTCTTTATATTAAAACGGTCAAAATCAGGTTCTCTATGAATTCAATTCTGTGCGTTACTCTATGCTATATTACTTTTCGTCTTTTTCGCTGTTGCCCTCCCTCCGTTCCCATCACTTCCACAAATGAGGTTCCACCTAGAATGATCAAGTCAAGTCAGTCTTTAGGGTTCTGAGTTTAGTGATAACCGAACAGTCGACGAGTTGAGTATCCTACGGTTCAACGGCAGAAAAGCAAGTTCTGTGACTTCAAAGACCTTCAAGAAAGCCTTATGAAAAGACAGAATAATTTGTGGATTGAAAAGTGCCACATATGTGTCTAAAAATATATATCATTTGATAAGTCAAATTACTAATCTACAATATTAATATGATTTAATTTACAATATTAAATTTAAAATAACTGAATCAAAGTACAATATATTTAATTGTACAGAATATAATTCCAACTGGTTGGCCAGTGTGCATGGTAGCGAGTTATCGGGGTGGCACGTTGTCGCATACGTTCGAGGTGGTGGGTTGACGGCATCAAACAAGACAACCCGCCACCTTTGATAAAAACTTGTGGTGGCGGGCGGGTTGTCGTGGCGGCACGTTGTTGTGGTGGCGAGTAGACGCACGGCCACCTTCCGCGGCCTTCGAAGTGGCAAAGTCGCAAGTGGTGTTGTGACAGCTGTTTTGTTTGGAAGCAGCTAATGGTATTTGTGTATTTATGAAAGATTGGTTACTGGACTATGCAAATATTGACTCGGTTAAAATGTACATATATAGATTTTTAATTCATATTGCTTCGGTTTTCAAGTCTGTATGTTGTATTTTCAATATTTTGATAAATTAATTTAAATTTAAATCAATAAAGTGCGAATTAATGAGCTGATGTCACCTGTCTGCGATGTTATCTTATGGGACGTCTATCACTAAACAACACCACTTGCGGCGTTGCCAATTCCACCAGGCCGCGGCCTGTGTTAAAGGTGACCGTGGTAGACGTGTATGTACACGTCAACCCGCCACCTTGGGGTTTTACGCCTCTGTCCAAAACACCGATGAGGTGGTGGTTTGACGAGGTGGCAACTTGACAGCGACCCCCACTACTATACATTTATCTGGGGTGGTGGGTTGTCATCCACGCTCACGACAAGGTGCCCCCACTTCAACCTAGGAGGATTAAACATTAAGGAGAGGGCACGCAAATAGGAATACACGTGTTGCGGTGAAGCCAGCTTTAGCAGAACACTAGAGGGGCACGCGGAGCCGTAGAGTGGCAAAAAGCCTCGGCTATAACATGGGAGAGATAGGGAAAAACGCGACGCGCGCTGTTTCGAATTAAAATTGCCGCTAGACTAAAACACCTGTGTTATTCACCGATGGCATTCTTAAAGTAAATTAAATTTCCTATCGAACAGTGTCAATCATTCCTATAAAAAATATTATTTATTATTTATTATTGAAGATCAAAGTTGAAAGAATTGACCTGGACTTTGAACATACGATTACTTTAATTACCTTTTTGAACAAAATATTATGTATCTACACAAATTAACAATTTATTCGTGTTCCTTAAGAGTTTCTTGAAATAAAAAATATATATTTACCTATATTTAAAAGTGGTATTTAGAAAAATAATTACAATAAAGTTTTTTTTTAATTTTTCCAGTTTATAAAACAATCTTACTAATAATAGGTTAAAATGAAAATTTTAATTCGGGTGATGAAATACATTTTAAATTTGCATTTTTCATAGTTTTCTCGATTTGTTAATATCATTTTTTACTAGTTTTAAGTCATTTATCTGCTAGGCAGGTGAATTTAAATAGCCGAAGTTAAGAAAAAATGCAAACTTTTTTACACCAACAGCCGTTACTATTAAATTACAATCATAAAAAGTAAAACAATTTCTTGGCAATCAAATTCTTGATTTTTTAATTATCATATTGAACTATATTTGATCTGTTTACCTAAAGAAACTTCGAGTAAAAAGTGTAAATGTTCAACAATCATCGCGTCTTCTGACCGCCAAAGTGCGTTTATCATTCTTTTAAAGGATTAAAACTTATTTTATTTCTCTTTAAGAAAATGTTCAAATACACATACAGTACTACTCATTATTTCAGTTTTAATTTATGAACAGTAAAATCCATTGGTGATATGGCGGGATTTGAATCCGGGACCCCTTGTACCGGAGTCCCGCGCTCTGGTTAGAGTATTATAAATAATGCACAATACAAGTATGGCAAAAAATAAAAACAAGGACAACGAATTCCAAAAAATAAGTCATCCTTGTGTAAATTACTCACCTTTGAACGTACTATTGGTTCATAAATATGACTTTCCTCTTAACAGGTTCCTAATATTACGGTTAGAATTTAACTTTTTAATTTTCGTAGCATGATGAAGTCTAATTTTTAAATAATTATATTTTTCTGTTACGAAATCTTCCAGTAACGCATACAACGCAGTATGAGAGGGGGCGGGAGAGTAGCGCTGCCTCCCCCCCTCCCCAGTATAATGGCTTCAACGAAACTACAGCGTGTCCTCTCCTTAATGTTTAATCCTCCTAGACTTCAACCTACTACGTCCTGCGAGCGATGTGCCGGGTTGTCACCAAGAAACACGAAACAGCCACCTCATCTTCTTCGTTTTTGGTGGAAGGTAGTCGGGTGGCACAATTTGTTTTTCAGGATTAATTTTGCCAACAGTGTCATTTAGAGGCTTCTGATTGACTATAACGAAGGTTTAGTAATTGAAAAATTATTTTTGTTCATAGAATAAAATTATAAATGCCTCAAATTCAATTTTATATTTTTTATCATGAAATTAAACCGTCATAACCTAACCAAACCAACCAAACGTGCTGACAATGAAAAAGTCTAATGAAGGTTTATTAATCGAAAAAATAGTTCTGTTCACAAAATAAAATTATAAATGCCTCAAATCCTATTTTTATTTTTTATTATAAAATTAAACTATCACAACCTTACCAAACTAACCAGACTTGCTAATAATGAAAAATCAAATGAAGGCTTAACAGAAAAAAATATTTCTGTTCATAAAATAAAACTATAAATGGGTCAAATTCAATTTCATAATGTTTTAATTATAAAATTAAACCGTCATAACCTAACCAAACTTGTTTATAATGAAAAAAATCCAGTACAAAAAAATAGTGCTACGGGTGGGATTCGAACCCGGGTCCTTCAGATCATCAGCCCAGCACTTTATCCACTACACCACCGAGGCCGTTGGCATCAATCGAATCGTCGCTGTAATGATGTTCCCTCAGCCTCAAAATAATACTGTAGGCAACACTGATCCTGAAATAAAAATTCAGCAGTCGGGTGGCACCCTAACGCGTCCCATTCGTCGATACGGAACGCATAGACTACCAAAACCGACTTCAGACATTACAATCACTGAGCTATAATTCTAACTGGAGGTAGCACTGAATGTCAAAGATGCGTGTCGCCAGCCGCCATGTTTGCGTGAGGCGGTTGTCATGAGAAGCCATGTTATTGCTATGACGATAAAACTCACTGCTATACCAACCTAGCTATAAGAAGCCATGTTATTGCCATGATAAGAAAACCAACTGCTATACCAACCTAACAAAATCAGCGACACGCTATTGACAGACTTCTGCCATGACAGTGCTACTTCCAATTATAATTTTAGCTCAGTGATTACAATGAGTCTAGTTTTGCTTTTTCAAAGTCTATGGTATTATTAATCGTCTTCAAATACATGTACATGCTTGATATATTTATATGTTATTGATTGAACTAAACCCGCCCGCCGCAACAAACTATAAATTTGATTATATGTAGTCTACGTGTAACTATTTATTTTTTAATCTATAATACATCGTAAGATTTTTCCGAAATAGATATCCGAATGAATTCATTTTGTATTCATAGTTTGATTTTAATGAACTAGTAAAATTGTTTGTCTGCATCATTGTTAAAGGCGATAACCAAATATATAGGCATATGTTGTATTACAATAATACATAGTATCGTCCCATTTTCCGCTGCCTTGTCTTTTCAATAAAATGGTAAAATCATAGATTAAACGTTTGTTTAATCTATGGTAAAATGCTGTTAGTTGTCATTCCTATTCGGCACTGTTACTTTCTGATTGGTAGAGAACATTTACATCTTTCTTAACCTATTATTTAGTGTTTTTGAGTGTGGTGGAGTCTCAACACGTGGACGTGATAGCTTTGTCGACCTTACTTTTTAGTTAATTTTGTAAGTATTATTTCGCAGAATGTAGGCTAAGTAGTAGTTGAACATAGACCTCAAAATCAAGATTACAAGCTGGTTACTTTGTTACAGGCTATCAGATTAATTTTCTATTGGCATATCTACATCAAACATACATGAGTCCCGATAGCCTACGTCATGCTATCATGTAAACTTAGAATGTAATCTAAGTTATTGAACTTTAACCCCAAAATCAAGAATACAAGTTGGTTGCTTTGTTTCAGGCCATCAGGAGATTGATTTGCTATTGGCATACCTAGGCCTATACCCAAGATGAGTTCCAGTACATGCTATCGGTGTAACCGTCCAGGACACTTTGCTAGGGAATGTTCTCAGCAAGGTCAAGGATTTGACCGTGGAAGTGGTGGAGGTGGAGGTGGTGGTGGTGGAGGAGGCTATGGAAGAGGAAGAGAGAAGTGCTATAAGTGCAATCGATTTGGACATTTTGCTCGAGAATGTAAGGAAGACCAGGACAGGTGTTACCGATGTAATGGAGTTGGCCATATAGCCAAAGACTGTCACCAAGCAGCTGATGAACCTTCTTGTTACAATTGTAATAAATCTGGCCACATTGCTCGAGAATGCCCCGAGTCAGGTTCACGCGGAGGTGGTGGAGGAGGCGGAGGAGGTTCCTATTCGACTTGCTACAACTGTAATAAGTCTGGCCATCTAGCCCGAGAATGCCCTGAAGGAGGGAGGACCTGTTACATCTGCGGTAAGACTGGTCACATATCTCGTGATTGCTCAAAGGATGATTAACTTAAGTCCCTTTCATTGTGTTTAAAGTTTATACATATTTTTTTGTAATGGGAGGTTTAATTTCTTGGTTTGGAAGTCTTAGGCTACTGGTAGCATATATATATATATATAGGGCCTATATATATATAATATATAGCCTAAATGGAGAGAGAGAGAGAGATATTTTGTTACATTTGAATAAACATTGAGACTTTCTCAGGTTATGTAATGCTATCAGGTAATAAAGTAGGCTACATTGTTTTAGTTCAGTTACTTAGTCTTGTTATTTTTAAACATTGGGTCAAACCATGACGCAAAAACAGTTGCATAAAGGCAGAGGTCATGCTTCAGATTACACACTGTAACTCAATAGGCTAACTTAGCTCTTTATTCATTCTTTCAAGATAACAGTAACTTAATCCCTGACAATTCGGATCCAGTAACTTAATCTGTTTTGATCCCCTCCCTCAAAAAGTAATAAAATCATAGCCTGACTTAGCTTACGTAAACTTACGTTAGCCTATTTAAAATCAATTTAAAGTAGGCCTACAACAGAACAATAGTATGCATTAAACTGCCCTTTAATATGAAATCACATAGGCCTACTGTATACCAGCGGTTCCCAGGTGGGTCGCTGGATTGATTTTGGTGAGTCGTGGAAAGGGATAAAACTTTGAACATATATTCTTCAACCTGGACCCTTAAGAATTGGGTACGCTTAGGCTTAAACCATTTTCACTGCCCGTGGGGACACAAGAGCACCAGAAAAGTGAATTTGTAAGTGCAGTAGGCCTAGCCTAGATTCAAATTAATTTGTTACCTACACATTCAAAATTCAACAATAAGATAGGGGACTTAATTAAAGTGATGAGGGCAACTATGCCCAAATTGCGGATTTTAATTGGGCTTAAAACTTAAAGCAAATTTTCATTCAGTCTAAGTATAGCCTATACCACATATGATTATAATTAGGCTATTAGTCATCATAAAGTGAAAAAATTATCAATTTATTTAGCAAAAAAAGTCCAAGATGATGGTGTGTTGCTTGACTAAAAAGTTAAGGAACCACTGTGCTATACAAAATTTACTGTAGTGCCTATGTCGAATCCACTATCGGTCACACTAATTTAAATGGTCACTCGATGTTCCGGCATATTCCTAAATCCAGCCTACTGGCCGCCCGTTTAAGCCACATTGTTGAGGGACTACTATATTAAATTATGACTAAAACACTGTTTAGAAACTTAAGAGAGCTTGTTAAACGTTGAACTAGGCCTATGCCAATGCTATATGCAACCATTTTTAATGGTAGGTAATTCGTAATCATTGGGATGTAGCTCAGTTAAGATAGGCCTGGTTGTTAAAATTTTTGTCTCATTAAAATACTATGTGGCAAGAAGCCTTTCAAGTTCAAACTAGTAAAATATAATTCAAAGACTTGCCAAAATTATAGTGAGCCAAGGGTACCTTAAATCTGAAAATATGCAAGAAGAGCTATAGCATACATGTTAGAGAAATAACCTCTATGGTGGATTAGTGTCACAATTTACAAGCTTTAAGCCATGGTCAGTTCTCAGATTCTGATACCATAACACAATTATTGCAGTAAATTCAACGAATAAACTGATTTGTAACTTAAAAGGCCTAACTTATGTTAGTTTCTTCCAATGGTTAAGACAGGAACCTGTGTAGCTCAATATCTAGAATTAATTGCGGCTCAGGAATATAGCCATAATTTTGTTTTTTTGTCTATAAATAAAATTCATAAATTGTGATACTAATTTTTTGTTTCTTTTCCTGTTCATTTTTCTGTAAGGGCTTGTTCAAGCGAATTAAAAAAAAGTAATTGAAGGGTTCATTGTTAAGAACGGCCCTAGGCCTATCACATTTGAGTTTTCTTCTATAAGCATAGATAATGTCTCTTGACTGGTAATTTGACTTCTTTAAAGAAAACTGTTGATGAATTATTATTGATAAATGTGAATTAAGTTTATTACTAAGCCGCCAAACAGAATATTAAAGACATATTTGATTTTGTCTCCCAACTTTATAGAAGGTTATAGAATCCTGAAAAGTCAGAGGCTACAGGAAAGAATTCACAAGATTAAAAATCCTAGAAACCACAGCTACAACAAACTTGTGTAAAAGAAACACCCCTGAGTCCTAGTTGCAATGTAGAATGTATTTTAACTTTCATTTGCAAATTAATTCGGTACTTTGGTATTATCCGAAGGCCACCGTTATACAGCGTGCTGCAGCGGTTATGTTAGGTTGGGTTATCATAAATATATTTATAGGACTTTCCTCGTTTCCTTATGAATCGAACTATACCAGATGAGTCATACTTTCCCCCGCCAATTCCCCTCCAAGTAGGCCAAGGTCAGGTCGTTGACCGGAGCACGTGCATCACCGGTCACCGCCTGTATCTGGGTCAGTGTCTTGAGTGACGACTCATCTTGTATCGTTCGATCCATACCAAAACGAGGAAAGTCCTACAAACATATTTATGATAACCCAACCTAATATAACCACCGCAGCTGTGCTGTATACCTACTTGGTGGAGTAAATGTGGCAGCTAGCGTTGGTGACGCATTCAACTCAATCCTCGCTGACATTACTGCCTTCTGGGAGGCAGAACTCAATGGCGGCTAATCGTAATCGTGTCAAATTTGGACAGTAAGTCGATTAAAGTAGGCCAATGTTCTTTCCAATTATGTAGTTATTTTTAGTCTCCAGTAAAAATTCCCTCTAAAATAAGTGTCCTCCGGATAATACCAAAGTACCAATAATTCTTTGGGCTTAATTAATCTTTTTTGGAGTGTTACTCAGTAATTTCTTGATCAGAAATGTACGTATTATTACATCTATGGAAAGTAAATAAAAAATATATCTATATTACACTAAAAACATAGGTATTTACACAGCATTATTAACTCACGAAAACGGTAAGAATATACAAGATGGTAGGTGGTGATCGATTTCAATTGTACACTCCAATCACCATCAGACCTAATAGGCGATCCCAGCTCATCCAATCAAAATCGATCACCACTTACCATCTTTTATACAGGGAGCGGCAGAAATATCTGACGGTTTTCAAGCGAGTACAGTCCGGCAGCCGAGTGGAGGGGGGTGGTGGGGAGCGGCTCATTCTCAAGACCAAGTGACGTCATTTCAGTCGCCATATAAAAGTTGACCAGTATACATCGCGCGTTTGTCGTTGAGGCGTATTTTAAAAGTGGCGATTCTGTTGTTGATACGCAACGTAAGTTTCGTAGGCATTATAATGTGGCTCTTGGGGAACCTATCCCATACCGAAAAACCATCAAATTGTGGGTGGATACCTTTAGATCCACAGGATCAACTGCAAAACGTAGGCCTACAGGCCGTCTAAGGTCAGTGAAGACGCCGAAGAACGTAGAGCGAGTGCGACAAGCTGTGCTAACGAGCCCGCATCGCCCGGCGCGTAGACAAGCTGCTGCTCTTGGCAGGTCTGATCGCTCTATTCGACAAATTTTGCACTCAGACCTTCACTTTCACCCATATAAAATAGCAATCGTCCAAAAACTTCAGCCTCACGACCACGCTTATCGTCAAACATTTTCAGAGCAGCCCGGGCGATGCGGGCTCGTTAGCACAGCTTGTCGCACTCGCTCTACGTTCTTCGGCGTCTTCACTGACCTTAGACGGCCTGTAGGCCTACGTTTTGCAGTTGATCCTGTGGATCTAAAGGTATCCACCAACAATTTGATGGTTTTTCGGTATGGGATAGGTTCCCCACGAGCCACATTAAAATGCCTACGAAACTTACGTTGCGTATCAACAACAGAATCGCCACTTTTAAAATACGCCTCAACAACAAACGCGCGATGTATACCGGTCAACTTCTATATGGCGACTGAAATGGCGTCACTTGGCCTTGAGAATGAGCCGCTCCCCACCAACCCCCTCCACTCGGCTGCCGGACTGTACTCGCTTGAAAACCGTCAGATATTTCTGCCGCTCCCTGTATATTACTGTTTTGTGTTTAAGTGTAAATATATATTTTATTGTTATTCGACATGTTTTTATTTACTTTCCGTGAATGTTGCACTTTAAATAAATCAAATTAACAAGGTAAGAAAGTGGTCATTCATAAATTAAATTTACTTTATTCATAACACCCTTCATACTAACTAATCACTATGCACTAATGGCAATGAAGCAAAAAAGAGTTTGGCCTATTAGCGTCTCAAACAAAACTGCACCCTTATTTAGATTTTCTTCTAATTTGTTCTGATTGTTTTGGACTCGGAAGTGTTTTTTACATCTGTGTTTGTTGTTGATAGTGCTGCATCCTTGACTGTTGAAACGGTGTCATAAACCACAGATAAACACAGAGTAGTAATATACTGAGGATAGGCTTACAAGCTTATGGGACAACCGTGCGCTTTTAGCTCATGGTATGTTGGGGCGGAAATGTACTAGTATCGAACAAGGAGGAGCCCAAATGGCGATGGCCACATAGAAAATTTGTACAGTAGTTGTAGTGCACAGGGTCCTCCTACCGCGTGAGCGCTGTAGTATGACAAGGGGGGAAAGGATAGCAGAAGGGAGCAACTAATAGAATTTGCTCTAGACACCAGCGACTGGTGCTAGACACCAATTGAGTGTACCTTTGAATGTATCCTCTGTGCTAGCCTATTTAAAAAAAATAATATTTACACTCATACAGTACACTCTCGATTATTCGAATCCCGATTATCCGAGGTCGTTATTATAGGCTTAAATATTAATCATTTCATTTTCAGTCGGAAAATGATTATTACCTTATTACAGTATGTTTAAAGAAAAGTAATAATACCATGTAATTTATGATTTTTTTTAAATTAATTTCTTCAACTAACCATTAAGTAACTTATTATTTAAACATGAGAATGATCAGCAATAACCTAGATAATGAAAATCACACATATACTGTACTAGGTTGGTCACGAACCATTGGCAACCTGGACGAGCTGTCTCCTGAAAGTAAACATTAATGTCATTGTCCTAAGATGATGTTTTGATGTACCTAGACACGGTTTTGTCAAGTTGTAGCTCAGATCATACAAAAACCTAAGGTTAACAAAAAGTTATGTTATGCTTTTAAAACTAGAAAGATCCACCTCATTTATTGTTTAGTTTCAAATACTGTAGTGTATTGGAAGTATTTGACACCCTAATGTGGTACTTAAACCCCTAACCTTCAAAAATCTATGCGACCTCCGTGTTATCCAAGATTTTCGGTAACCGAGGTAGTCTCGGTCCAAACAACCATGGTTAATCGGGAGTATACTGTATAATCAACTTTTACAATAGGCTGTGGTGATAATGAGAAATATTTCTTCCCAGTATGAGTGGCCTTTCAACAAGTTATGCAATTCTGTATAAGGACTCAATCCTCGCTGACATCACTGCCTTCTGGGAGGCAGAACTCAATGGCCCCTAATAGCCATACCAATGGCCTCTAATGGGCTAATAAGGAGATTCTGCATTTTAGACTTGAAAGAGGAAATTGGTAATTGCCGACGTGTACACTTTAGAAGGGTCTTAACAATTTTTATGGCAGAGCGTGGATAGTTCTTTTGACCGTGACTTGTGCGACAATAGGGCATATCCAGGTCGTCGATCCTCCTTACTTAATCTTTTGAGTCACTTTGTTTACTAGAACTGTTTGATCTGATCAATGACCAAGCGGTCGAGGGCGTTGTTACAGCCGGGAGGCAGGACTGATTTTAGGTTCGACAGTTCTGGTGTGTGTTCACCTATCTGTGGCAGACTTGTGTATGGGTAGAATCTATGTGAATTTAACCTCAAATCAGGCAATTTGCTTATTACACATAGGTAACTACTATGTGTGTTTGTATATTTCCACCAAAAATGTTATTTCACTATGCTGCATCAAAAACAGTTGTTTTCAATGCATCCACAAAGCTTGTTGTATTTTAAGGATTTGACTATTTATACAACTAGACATTCCATCCCCACGTTAAAGCTGTAGCCAGTCTTTCAATCAAAATTGTCGTAGTTGATGTGAGCCACTGACAGATTGTGCGGATCTAAATTACTAATTTCTGTTAAATGCACAAGCTTTTTCACCAAGTTCAACTAATGGAATGACTTATTGTGAGCTATAGCAACTATAGCTAACTATATATGATCGTACCCATCAGATTTGTTAGCAAGAAAAAATAACGTAGAAAATAGAATTTTAGACACTAGCGCATTCTGTGACTGGCTCACATAACTACATTCTTTTTTGGTAAAAAATTGGCGACTGCTGGTCCATATAGATGGGATGTCTACTTCTGTATCCAATAGTCAATGGTTAAGGTTAAAGAAGTGGTTTTACTTCCTTTGTGCGAAAAAGAATCAGCTGATGTCGAGGACCTCAGCTCGACATTTTCTGATGTAAAATTTGTTCACTGATTTTGCAGAAAGAAATTGTCACTATTGATGAAAATATTATTAAAATATCACTACAATAAAATCAACATCCCTTTTTCTACATTTAGACAAATTTGAATTTATTATTTAAATAGTCAGTGTCAGGGGTGCCCAGAGGGGGGGACTGTGGCGCCTTTGCGCCACAGGAATTTTTTGGGGGGGGGGATATTTTTTGGGGGCTTTTGGGGGGGACATTTTTTTGCTAGCTATCATAATGAATGTATAATTTTGTATAAGCAGCCTGAAAAGTGTTTCTAAGTAGGCCTAGTTCACTATCAACACCAACAACATTTTGCCATTCGTAATTAAGATT